AAACGTAGAAACGGAATGACGAGCCGGCGAAAATGTCAGTGGCCCATCAAAAGGGATTGACACCCAGCTCTGGGGACAGGACTCGTATATGTATATATAAGGATTGGGAATAACAAGAAGCCAGCTATTTGCGGCATATTTTACACGCTTTTCTACTCCGTTTACACGCACGACGACGAAGGACCCTGCTCGCCATCCTTTTCGCTAGGGAAATTCCGGGGAAAAATAGATAGAGAGGCGGCCAAGGCATTTGATGTGCCCCCCGTATGAGTGCGCATATAAAGTGAAAACATTTACACATGTTTGATTTATGGGTCAAGTGTGTGATAAAACTACAAAAGCAGTCTGAATGGGGCTCGCAGGCAGCGAGCTGAAATCAGAGTAAATCATGCAAAATACAAACGAAAGATGAGAATATGCCGGCGTGCCGTACGGCAAAATTATGCAGTCGCAAGGATGTGCGAATAAGTCGAGCAACTCGAGCGCCGAGCGACGCGCAAAAGTATGCAATAAATGTGACAAAAGGAGTGAGGCCATCGCCATCACCAAGGATTCCGCATTCCCGCACTCCTCCGCGCGGCCATAAAAATTGTATTTCAGTTAAGTGCCCGGCAATCGGACACTGTCCGCTCGGCAAAAGGTCCGGCTTAAATGGCATTAAATGCACACCAGGGCCTTGGGATTTTTCATCCAGCCTGACAGCTCATAACTCCGGCGGAGGAGCAGGGATAATGACAAGATGTGCAGTTTCTGGCCGGGGAAAGTGAATAAAATGACTTGTAATGCAAAGCAAGTACTTGAATTTTTGTAGAATAGCGTAAAAACTATTTTACAAATAAGTTAGTTAGGTTTTCGACAGGCACGATTAAGTAAAAAGTAAAGTAAGTTAAAATTGCAACTATTTAAGTATCCCAAAAGTACACATAAGGTTTTCAGGAACTTGTTAAACATAATGATATAAAACAAAAAAAAAAAGAATAATAATTTATTGTTGTGACTATAAAAGTCATTCAAATAATTGGTAAGTATTAAAAAATACACCTTAGGATTTTAGAAAAGCAGTCTAGTTATTTTTTAATACACCTTTAACAGGAACAGGATATAATACTCATTTAACATTTTTATTTTCATGGATACTGTGTTTTTTTCATTTTTAATTATTACTGTATTTCTTCATCTTCACAACGTGAACAAAAATAAACCATAATACTAAGCCAAATAAATTTCTAAGTCCCACTTAAGCTTTTTAAATTGGAGTTTCGGCCTTGGCATTAGCATATTATTAGCATTCATTATCAGCATATTACCAAATTTCAAAATGTATATTGCTCCTAAAACGTTCTCCCTTTCCCCTTAATTATTTTCATATTTTAAAAAACATTTAAACATTTAGTTCAGAATGCTTAAAGCTTTTCTAATTGAAAAAGAGTCCTGCATAAGTATAAATCGAGTTAGGAATCATTGCTCCGGATTTGGAAGCCCCACACAGTCGACCATTTAATGGGCACTCTCACACATCGGCTCACATAGTGCGGATGGGTAATTGCATTTGATGCCAACTGGAATTGACCAAGAACGACAGTTGCCAGCAAATCGAGTTATCTTGTGGCCGAGCCCAGATCAGATGGCCATATGGATTAACGATTATGACAGCGGTCGTGTAACCGTGACGGCCAGAGAAAATTCCCTGTAATTTGCAGTCACAGCTCCTAATGAAATTGCCAACTGCAAACGAGATGGAGAAATATGCGAGGAGTAAACAATTTGCATCCAAACGAAATGGGAAAAATAATTATTTACACAGCAATTTAAGTGCAGCACAGCAAGAACAAACAGAGGAAGACGGCTGGACAGACGGCCGGGCCTAATTTATGTGAACGAAATGCCAAAAATTCCATTTGAGACAAAAGCCAGAGCCAGAGAAACAAAAATTGAAAATGACAAATTGCATTAGGAGGGCTTTTCCGTCGGGTTTTTCCAGCGTTTCAGAGTGGGAGTGTTGACCGCAAAAATGACAGTCCGAAGTGGGCACAGAGTGAGCAACAAATTCAGACCAGCTCGGTTATCCATTTATGGAGACAACGGCAACAATGTCGCACATATTCAAAAAGCAATTCTCGGCTAAACTGGGCTAACACACAACAAAACAGGGCAAAAACTGAAAACTGGAAACCGAAAACCACAAGAATACACAGAAAAATTATAAAACGAAATTCCAGCACAAAAACAAACAGTCAGCGAGAGCGGGGAACCCATTTAAACCGATTTCCTAATCAAAGCCGTATTACTTCCCCAGCCCCAAAACCGCAAATCCATACGTATCCGCCCTGTAACCTCATCTACCCCAATTTTTCACCCCTCACGCACAAATGCAAAATTTAATTATGAGTCAGGGTTTTCCCATTTTTTTTGCGCTTTTTGTTTTGTTGCTGTCGACAACGCGGCGTGAAATATAATTAATTTGCTATTTTTAAAGCACAAAAATGAGAAATTCGACTGGGAAACTGGCGCCAAAATAATTGCCAAGGGAAACGCGCTCTTTTTCCTGGCGAATAACCACAGAAATTTCATTACATGTGTAAACAATATAGCCAACAAATTTGGTTTCTCTTCTCGCCTTCATTGTTTAATTTCAAAAAAAGGGTAATATTAAGGAAAAGTGGAAGTAATTATACTTATTAATAGGGTCGTATGTAAGCACTAATGAGGGGGAAAATGTATTGTTTGCCGGAAACTTGAAGCGAGCTCAACTAAAACCAGTTAAAGCTGCTTAAGACGCAGCAAATCGATGGGAAAATCGCTTGGATGCAATTTAAATTGGCCAATGGCATTCGCTTTGACATTCGAATGGTCGAGGGGATCAGTTCGAGTAAAATAATGTACAATATTCCGGTTGGCAGCTGGAGGACAATTTTCGGCAGCTCCTGACAGGGCTTTGGTCCTGCCAGGACTCACAGCCATGTCAATAAATTATGTACTGGATTTTCGCCCGGGCTGTGTATGTGTTCTGTGCATCTGAAGCCTTAGACGTTTGATTAATGCCCAATAAGCGACTTTAAATTGCAACTTCAGCTGCAGACGTATAAATGTGTTCGGCTGACTCAAATAAAATCAAATCATACTTTCGCATTAAAAGTGTACGCGGCAATTTCAAGGGTTTCTCCACAGGAGACATACGGCACATAAAAGGCAAACGTGTTTACTTTCGTTTTTTATTTTTTTCGCCAGCCAAAGTGAAGTGAAATTCCTGGCCAAATTGCCAGAGTTTTTTCCAAAACGTTAATGTTGATCATGCGGCAAGGGGAACAGCGAGTGTAGTGTCCTTTTAGGCTGCGCAGGAATGCGACACGGGGAAAATTACGTTGACAAATGAAAATGTCACAATGATGATAATTTATTTTCCCTTTTGTCGATTGCCTTTCCTCGGACCCAACTGTGTGCCAAATTCCCGGGCATTCCGGCTTTCGTCTCCATTCCGGTCGACATCTGCGACCCGAGCTATGCGCAATTAAAGGTAATATCCGACAATTGTGTTGGCGCCTTTTTGGGGGACCTTTTTTTGGCATACCATGAGTAGCGGAACTCATACGTGATATGAGGTGGGTCTTTGTTCTGAACTAGAAGATTGAATATAAATTTAACGAGATATTTCAGATGGTCTTACAAAAGGTGTGTGGTCTCTATTCAACAGAAACCAATTTTTATTTTTGATTTTCTATATTTTCTATTTCCAACTTTTCTTAGTATACTGGGATGTTTGCTAGTAAAAATAGATGTATTTAATACTATTACTTAATAGTTAGGTACCGAAAAATGGCAATAAAAAGTTTGTATCTTGAGAATAAATAATATTATTCTCCTGACTAGATTTTTTATTTTTTAAAACATAATTTTCTTCTTTTTTAAGAATTTTAAGAAAACTAATTTAAAGATACTTGTACGATTTTTTATTTTTTATATTAATAAATTTATTTTAGGTCTTAATTATCAACGCGTTTTTATCAGATTCTTGTTCGATTTTCCGTATATTCTCATTCCCGTAAATATGTAATATTCAAAACTTTTCCCGGCAGATCCTCCGATTTATCGACTCCCACCAGTCCATACATCTTGCAGGCCTGGCTGTGGTTCCGAAACCAAAGTATTCCAATCATCGTCGTCGTCATCTAGGGTAATACTCTCCATTCGGCGGAGAAGGGGGAACTTTCCGCTTCATGAGCCTTATGCGCCTTATTCGCTCCTTACGCTTTCCACTCAATGGATTCGGGGTAAAAGTGGGCTAAGGAGAGGAGAGGTCCTGGGTTGACGCGTTGTGCGCTATTAAACTTTTTGGCATGATATTACGGGCCGGCACACAAACACACACATCCATACTTACTTGTCATATAATAAACTTTTATGTTAACGGCTTTTGATGTCTTACCAAAGCGCAAACATAGTCCTGCCACACATGGCCCACTGCTGGTCTAAGGATTCGTTGGATTCGTAGGAATCGCTGGGACAGCTGCCAGCCAGGCACTTAATGCCCATTCTTCTTGCCATCAGTTTTCCTGGCTGCCTTTTGCATTGCGGCTTTATTAGGCTGAAAAATGGAAAATGGCAAATGCCGCCCGCCCGAAAAGAAAGCGGAGAAAACTTGCAGGCCCCCGTGGTTCCGCCACCTCCGAAATTCCATTGTCTGTGGTCTTGTGCGTGTGGCCCATTAAAATTCCCAAGCTAAATGCATGAATGGCAATGGAAAATATTTGCATAAATCTTACCAGGATTCCGGACTCAGCATGTGGTTTTCCCAATCCCCCAAACATTACCGAAAATCAAAGAAAACTCATGCTTTTGTTATACATATTTATCATTTGGATGGTAGTAACTAAAAAAACTTTATTGAAATTTTCCATACCGATTTCCATATTTACGTGGCTACTCGCTTAAAAATTAAAAACAATTTCATAATCTTTATAATGCGTTGCCATTTTGTTTGCAACAAAAGTCAACAGAGTTTGTTTTTGTTTTTATTTCCGCTTTCTGCTTTTCGGCTTCTGTTATAATACTCGCTATTTTTCCCCATATTATGCTTATAACATATATTATTTTATTTGCTTAATTGCAATTATATTCATGGTTTTTTCTGTCCCGCTTATGGCAACATTAATTTACCCATTAAACATTCATTTACATGTCGCGACTAATTTTGCATGCGTTGGGTTTACACTTTTAATACCGATACATCCATGTACGTATATAAATCCATATCCATATATATATAAAGATATATATGACTGATTCGCGCGCAGTGTGCATTATGTGTTCGTTTTAATATGTAATGTACGACTACCACACGAATACTTGAGTACAGTTTATAGTTTATTCATATGGTATATATGCAGGTTTATTTACAATTTTGATCAGTTAAACTCAGCCCCATTTAAGGGCCGGACTCCCAGTGCCCCATACATTTTTAAATGTGGCACAGGATGAAGGAGCCATCGCTCGGCTCGGTTTCCCGGACAAAGTCCTTCAAGACAAACCCAACCTGAACACATTCGACCGCCTCGGCGAATGGAAATGCAAATATTTTGTTGACAAGAGTGAAAAGTGACTTGCCAGTTGTGTCTTCCCCCTTTTTTCCGGAGAAACGGCCAGGGTTTGGGTGTAAAAATGCAACCGGACATGCTGAAATGGGAGCTCTAAATTTCACTGGACTAGGGGAGCAATGAACTCGTACTGGGCGTTGGTAAATGGGAACAGGAACTGCCCACATGACTTGGAGAAATTCTTCTAAATAAATTGTTAGTCCGGAAAGTCGCACTTCAAACTGAGGCGGGTTTTGGCAGGAATTTCCCATGAATTCTCCACAGTTCCCTATAGATATTGGGGGTCACCAGTGGACATGTAAATTTGTTCAAAAATTAGTTTAGGAACCTTCGAAGAAGTTCGTGTCGAAACAGTTAGCTACATTGTATCTCTAAATATTTACATTGCTTAAATGCTAGGCTATACAGGGTAACCCAAGGACAACACACAAATCAAGAACGAATCCCAATATTATTTACAACGATCTGAGTAAACTTTCGCTACATATATACTTAAGTTCCTAATCAGGGGTCTTTTTGGAGATCTGTAGATACTTAAAAACAGTGTCAAGGTGTCCCAGGCACTATTTACAAATTAAATTTCTTTCCTTATACTTATAGAACAAATTATGTGATACCTTGGGTTTTTAGAGCGAATTACTTAATTGCCTTTCTTGGGGACACCTTAAATGCCACCTCCAAATCTCTGACATTTCGAAAAGACCCCTGCTTGCCATTTTATTCACTTTAATATTCCTTTAAACACCTAGGCCTGGCTCTATAAGCAAACCACTTGAATATAGTTCTCTAATTTGATGATTCGTTCGAAATGCTTTCCATTTAGCTAAGTTCGCTAGTGTGCTGGCAAATTTACGTGAGAAGTTTATGTACATGGCTCTGATTTCCGCCTAACTAACTAATCCCCAGCCCACTTAATTAGAAACACACTTACTTACAACTTTGGTGAGGAGGAGACGAAGGAGCAACAGCAGGAGCATCTTCCATCATTAGCATAATTAGTTGGTTTTTCAGAAAGGTATTACATGCAGCTGGAGTGGAAGGACCTCAGTTGCTGCTCCTTGCAGCTCCTTGCAGCTCCTGCTGCTCCTGCAACTTCTCCCATAAATCATTTCTGCTGCATTTGGGCGCTGCATTGGCGGTGGAATTCCAACGGGGCGACATTAATTTATCACCGTGCATTCCGGCTGCCATTATTGACACGCTCCTCAGACGTCGTCGAGGGTTCCTTGGGGTCGACTGGGGATCTTGGGCAAGGTTTCTCTTGTATCTCCCTGATTTTAGCAGGTCCTCCGCCTCCAGGACATCCACCTCCTCCTCCTCCACCTCCACCTCCACCTCCACCTCCTTGGAGCAACAGCGAGGAGCAGGCCTCCAACAAAACAAGTGCCGCCACCATTGTGCTAATTACCCTGACCGCCTGCGTGGCCTGGCCAAAGTGACAGGACCAACAGGCCAGGGCGACGGCTGCCGGGGCCGCGTTCGTTTGCATCGCCTCGGGTCGCTCGCCTGTCCGGCAAATGGCAAATGGAAAATGGAAAACGGAGAAAATGGAAAATGGTTAGAGTCGCGGGGAGAGAGGCACTAAATTTGCGCTGAATGGGTAACAATTTGTAGTTTGTCTGCCTCACAAAAAGGCTCTACATTCAGAAATAAAGTTGGCCAAAACGGGAGCAACAAGTTTTTTTAAGCGCCAAGATAAATATATATGCTAAAATAACTTTAACTTTTTAAAGTTTATTAAGAACTTTTAAACTTGGGATCATTAATTTTAAAATATACATATTATTCAAGCGCACTTTTACAAATAAAGAAAATTAATCAAAAATAAATCTGTATATTCACATGATTGTACAACTTTAATTGACAAAAATTGAGTCTAGCGGAAAAAATAAATCCAAAAACTATGAGCACTTTTGTAAATAAAATCTAAAAAAATGTTCATGTTACTTAAGCTATTAAAATATTTAATAAGATAGTTACTTTGTAAATAAATGTATATTCGTTAAAATAAATCTGGCAAAAGAAATATATTATAAATAATAAATGTTTTAAAACTTGTGAAAAACGGATGATTCTATGTCCAAGGACTCTTATTATCATTTTAAAAAATGTATTTGATAAAATATTTTATAACTATTTTGATATAATTTAGACACTTTTCTCGTAAAGATTTTAAGAGTGTTTAAGCCCAAATTTCTCTAAGTGTACTTCTGTTGTGGCCACTAGTTCATAAATTGCGCAAAAGTTGGCCCAACAAAGCGAACGAGATGCAAGTTTAATGCATACAAATCGAGGTCAAGCAGATGCATGAATGTATAATTCACATTATCAAACTCGAGTATCCAATTAAGGCCTTAAAGAGACCGGGACATAGAAAAGAAGCGCTACATAAATTGAAACTCACCCTGAAGGACGTGGACGCGTATGCTGGCTATCTCCGTGTTCGAAGGATAACAGGAGTACTTGCCGGAGTGCAGGAGATCCGCATCGTAAATGAGCAGAATGGATTTGGTCTCCTCCGACTTTACGGTCTTGAATTTCAGCCGACCGCCCGAAGTCTCCTCGCTGAGGACCTGTAGATGGTAAATAAAAAAAACCCGTGGGTGAGTGTCGTATTAAATGCGATTTTCCCTCGTTCAAAGGAGCCAGGCCCTGTTGAGTGCTGAGCTAAATGCAAAAGCATGTTTTCTCATAATCATAAAAGCCAAAATTAAATACGTTGCGTATACGACGCGTAAACAGACGCGAGCAAACTCACACACACACACGCACACTGGAGAGGTGCTCGCCCAAAGCTCATAAAAGTTAAAAACGTTTATCCTGCAGCAATTGGCTGGGCGTGGCACCGCCCCTCGGCAGATTCACCTCCCCCCTCAACCAACCAACCTGCCCCACTTTTGCGCTTTTTACTGCGCACAAACTCAATTATTGCAAGATAATTTGGCACCAAAAAGGAAAACCTTAAATTGGTTTTTGCCCCTCGCGTCCTGGCTTTTCAGATTTTTTTTTACTTATATTTTCGCTGCAAATTGATTTTAAGAGATATTTACCTTATCCTGATGATACCAGAAGATATGGGTAGGCGGCTCCGGGCTGAACTTGATGATGCAAGTGAGATTTATGGTGCTGCCCTTGTCCACGTACAGATCGGGTCCTCCCAGAATGGTGGCCGTGGGCACTGCGAATGGAGAGCGGGTTGGAGAGAGATATTACCATCCATTATGCAATTCATTTCCCATTCCCCATTCCCCATGCCCTTTATAAATCCGAAAATTCCCGAGCTCTGCTAATCACTGCGTTACGTCGCCTAATCAGCGCCGTTCACAGGTCCCCGAAACTCTGACGAGTTGTGAAATTGCAAAATGGTTTGTTTTCCCAATTTCCAGCAAAGCAGTGACATGTGCCCCCTGTTCCGGATCCACCCACGCCCATGTCGCCCACCTCCTGACCAGGCCAATCCGGTCCAGCTCGGCTTTTGTTGCCAATTTCCATGGTCCGTAGTTGGGAGCTGCCGTGCCAGTCAAAGTCAGCACGTTAAATAATCGATTACCGCCTGTCAGGCGGCCAGAAAACGCAAAGTTTCGAAAGGACAAGGCTGCACAAAGTTGAAGGCTACTTTAAGATGGGTAACGGCTTCATTTTATGCTACCTTGAGAGCTATTATTATTATTATATATATCTAACTATCTATCTTAATATCTAACCACTATAACTGACATATACACATATATTGGGTACTCCCCAAACTGTGGAATTGTTAGTAGAAAATTCAACCGATAATTTAACTAGGAATAAAATAAATAATTTAATTTTTGTATATCCCTTAAAAATACTCCAAAAAAATAATAATACGAGCAGTTGATAAAGAGATGAAATTCAAAGATAAAGAAATTCATCAGTTCAGGAACTCTCTTATAATCAAGATTTAAATTTATCGTTAATTTAGCATTTCGTTATCCAACACTTTATAAGCATTTTAACACACTAAATAAAATGTCATTAAAAAATATTTTCTAGCAGGTTAGTCATAGTTTGCTTTGCTGTGTTGCCTTTTTTTGTTGAACAATTTTCAATAATTTTTGTTGTGTTAATTTAATTACTTCTAGGCAATTTTGCCTTTCTCATTACTCTTAGCAATTCACTTGTTAGTTATTAGTTTCTAGCAGACATGCAACGATTGCAGTTGGCATTTTTTCTAAGCCCCCTTTTGTTCCTGAGAACCATTCTGGCCATAGACTTTTGTGGTATTAAGTCCTGCCATGACAAGCGGCATATTGGATGTGATAACAATATGGTAAGGTTTTCACTTTGAAGATATTGTGCATTCTTTAAAGACCATTTCTTAGATGTTCGATGACAGCTGCCTGCGTTTTCACAGCCTGGTAAATATGGTGTATTTCCGTGAGTACTTGCTCGATCTTCACAATGGATATCGTCAGGAGGTGGCTAGCCATGGGTTTGTGCATTTGCCACCTGCCCAAAAGATGCCCGAATTGGCCTGGGACAACTACCTTTCGGTGGTGGCCGAATACCATCTGAAACGCTGCCAAATGGAGCTACCCGATAACTCCTGCCAGGCCACCGATGATTTTGACGATCCACACTTCAATTATGCCGAGGATTTCTATCCAAGACCTCTGATTCGACAATCGAATGTCCGGGAAATGACAATCCTAGCCGAACAATGGCTGGATGAGCTCTACGATATGGAAGACATATCCAGGGACAATGCGGAAAGTGAAATCCGGAATATCATCAACGATCGGAGCACCTATATGGGCTGTGCTGCTGGCCAGGACTACGATCTATGGAACACACACTTCATGCTCATTTGTTATTACAGCGCAGGACCCGCTCTCGAGGGAAACCTCTACGAAGAGGGCCAATTCAATGCCAGCCTTTGTCCCTTCGGAAAAAGTGATGAATACCCCGACCTTTGCAAAACACTGACCCTGACTGACTAAGTCCCAGAATCTCCTGCAAAATAAATATTGCAAAGGCTTTGGGTATAATTAAATGTGCGAACCACTTGGGCCATAAATGCGAAAAAGCAGTGCTGAACTTTTGGATTTCCTTATAGCTAGATGTCAGTATTCTGGTAACCAGAAGTGCCTAAATTTGAGTGATAAATATGATAACTATGTGGTTAAAGAATAAAGTAAATTAAGTTTTAATTTGAAGGAAATAAAATTAAAAGCCTTAAATTATAAAACATCAAAACGAAATCCTTATGATAAAAGATAATTTCAAAAGGACACAAGTATTTAATTTGCATACGTCTACCTGAAATATTTTGTTTTAATTTTCTGCATGCCATTATTTTCGAACATAAAACTTGCTTCCATTTTCATTGCAATTCCTTACTGTTTTGGCCCATATGGCAATCATCTGGCTCTCAAATTGCGGCAACACTAGAGAAGCGAGACCGAGAAATTGCGAAAAGGTAGAAAATAATAGGTGGAGTAACAGTAACCGTAACAAGCTGGCAAAGTTAGTGGGTAAAAGCTTGTTGGAAAGCAATTTGTTCGTCATGAGCCAGAAAAGTGCTTGCCTGGGGCGCCCAGCACTTGACTCCGCAAACACCCCACCAATCCCCCCACAGCTGGCACGAAAAATGTAGTAAAATATTAAAAAATAATATGCATGCATGGCAGCCCTCGAGCAGACCTCTCATCTCTCCGTCTGGCACCTGGCTTTTTTTTTCTCTATCTGCGGTCGGACTTGTCACTCGGCCAAAAGGTGTGCTACGAACTCAACGGCAGTTTGACTAACCCGCAACTGTCTGAATGGGTCCAAACATCCCGGCGAACTCATCATTACTGGACTGATACACCCGATTCTCGGCTATATAGAAGGCGTCGTCGTTATAGTACTGCTGCATCATATCGCTGGTCTCCGAGTCTATCAGATCTTTTCATCACAACGTCGAATCGTCGGGCGGGGGTAACCAAAAATATAAAAAAAGAAAAACAAAACAAATAATATTTGGAAACAAAAGTATAATTAGAAATGGAAAATAGAAATAGAATAGTTATAAAAAGCCACGGGCTAAACAAATCAACTAAAGTACTTTGGCGCACACAATGTCAAAAATAGAAATTCACTGTCCATTATAATTAGGGGACTAAGACCACCTGCTGCATAATTTATACGTAATATGCTGGCTATTATTTGGGCGGAAAAAAAACTTAAAATTTTATTCCATCATATTGCCTTTCTAATCACGATTTCAAATTTGTTATTCAGGCTTTTTCAGCTGCAGGCCCGCTTATCTGGCTCACTGAGGGCCTGTCCGTTTGATTTAGAAAAACCATAAAAATAATTCCACCAAAATAAAAATTCGTTCTGTGGCCACAGGATTAAAGAGAACGAATGTTTTTTCTGTAAAATTGAATGGCAGCGAAATGTTTTTCTTTCGCATACTGTTTTTCCTGTTATCTACACCTTAATTCCATATATAAATATGGTAGCCTGTCGATATCCATTCATGTGTGTTCGTTGCGGCTTTTGGCAGCTCCTGACAGTCCATCAATCGGCTCACAAGAATTTCGGAAAATTCCTCTGTCATATTTACCGGAAAAGTCGCGCTCCGCTTTTATATCCTGCTGCGACGATTGCCAAGTGTGCATAATTTACACTTTTGAAAATTGCATGAATATGCAAAAACAATACAGAAAAATATGCGAAATTCCCCAAACAAACAGGACCCCCTGCCAGAGGCTCGGAATTTTCCGTATCTCTTATATCTGCAGGCATATATAAAACGTTTAGCGAGCTGAACTGAAAAGTGCGTGGATATCCGAGCTGCCCATAAAATATTTGTCATACACTATGAATAAAAACCAGTTCTTAAGTTTATAGTATTTGATTTTAAAAATGTTGTTTAAATTTGCGTGGTTAAGGCACATTTTAGATAACAAAATATTTATTGGATACACGTGCGTTCCATAAAATTGCTTATATACACTGTATAAATTAAGCTGATCATATCAGTTTCGTTTATAAAAACAGACCAATATACTAAGCACCAAATATTTATATATATCTTACTTTATTCTTTTTTCAATTACCCATCTCTAAAAACCATGTATATTTTTTCAAAATACGCTCTGATTAATACTTGTCTAACTAATTTTTACGAGTGCACAGTGGATACTCACCCACGATGTTCAGGTTGACCGAGTAGCTGCGCACGGGCTGCGTGGATATCTGGCACTCGTAGACCCCGGCGTCCCGCTGCTGGGCCCACTTGATCTGCAGGGTCCACTCGTCGATGTCCCGGTGGTATGAGGTCTGGAACCGCTGATCCGTCGTATAGGTATAGGTGCCCACGGTGAGGATGTGCAGGTCACGATGTCGTATCCAGGCGACCTGTGGGGTGGAATACTCATTAATATCCTGTTCACAGGACTTTAAAGAGCTCTGCCGACTGTAGTTTGTTCAGGGCCATTTGCCTCCACAGAAACCGCAAAATTTATGCAGTTCACAGACTAAATTTTCATACTGCCTCCAAATTAGTGTGCGGAACGCATGACAGACCCGGAAAATGATACTACCCATCCTGCGACATTCACTCGACATTGCCCACTACATTTGATACAAATTTTTTGCATGTATTTTTCCCTTTTTTTTCGACAGTTGGAGCCTTCTTGTTTATGCGGCTAACTGTCTAACCAATAACACACACACACACAGACCGACTGAAGGACTGAAAGACGGACAGAGTCAGCCAACTGTATGGCATCCATCTGTGCAGTTCCACTTTCCCGCCCGCCAGCCTGTCTATTTCTGCCATAACAGCAAGAAAAAGGGCAAAAAAAAACCTCAAAAAAATAACGAAAAAAAGTAGGAAAGTAAACTTTAGCCCTGGCTGGCCATAAATTTAGTGTTGGCCAAAAACCGAGCACACGACCAGTTAACTGGAGGATGTGTGTGTAGTTTACTGATTGCGGAAGCGGATTTGGCCTAGAGGAAATCCATGGGCCCCGTGACCGTGGCCAAATCGCTTAACGTAATCAACGTTTTCGAAACTGCCAGCACCTGCAAACTTTCCCAGTAAAAGACAGCCGTGAATTTGGCAAATGCGTGCAAAATATTTCCGCATTGTTTCTGCGGCAAATAAAAAAATGAAGAGAAAATACTAAAAAGCCCCCTTTTTGTTATGGCAACCAATTTAATTTTGATTGCTGAAATGCAACACTTTGTTTCGGGGCCCCGAAAAACTTAAGGGCTAACAAGCGGCTAGGAGAGACTTTAATTGGGTCGGCTGGATCAAGTGACGCCATCCTAGAAAAAAATTGGGCCTAGTACGGGCCAGTGGTCAGCATGTGTGTTTGGCTGTGTGTCGGCTGCTGTCACGTATTACATAATAAACTGGCAGCAAATTTAATAACCCCGCTCGTTCCTTGTAGGCCATCTAAGTGGATATTTGGTGACACATTCGCCACACTTGCGGCAGCCCCATTTTGGGAGCTCTTTGTTTATTAAATGTAAATAAAAATCAGGATTATTAATACGAAATGTTTCCGGCTGTTCTCTCCCTGTTGACTTTGCCTTCACTGAGGGAAAATTGGTATTCTTATGTAAAATGGTATACACAAATCACTGGGGTTTGAAAATCATTTTTAAATCTAATTTAAGGTATCCAATAAACAAAGAACAGTCGCTTTCTAAATGCATTATTTGCACTTCAGAACTATAAAAATATACTGTTGCATACTTTTAGGCACCCAAAGTGGTTCTTGAAAGTTATTTAAAATCTATAGGGTCGCGTATAGCACCCCTGGTTATTTCGTTATGTATTACGAACTTTGACTTATTATATTTTAATGAAACAAATATTAATGAACCCACAAGATAAAAATTACTCGCAATTTATTTGAGTTGTTAAAGAAACCTATATAGACTTGGAATCATTTAAAAATGTGTCTAAAAGTATGCTGTTAAAAAATGAAACAACAATAAGACAAATATTTTCAGCATTTTTTTTAGACCATTTGAAATGTCACTTAATATATGATCCTAACAATATATTTGTAATAGGAATATATCTTTAAAATTGTATATGTCGCCTAAGAGACTTGAAATGTGTAGTATTTTATGTTACACCTTATATAACTAGAATGTTATATTATTGTTATAACATTGTTTTAGTAGTATGTAACTAATACTTGTATATAGGCACTCAAACCTTGCTTAAATCTTATTTTTTCCAGTGTAGATTTTGTGCGTCACCCCGGACTCGACTCACCGTCTTATTGCCCAGATGCTTGACACGACAACCGAGATATGCGGATTTGCCCACCAGCGATGTGATGTTCCTGGGCATCGTGAGATCAAAGTACGGCTCGTTCCACTTGTGGCCATGAGGATAATGCGAGGGGGGTGCGTGGGTGGGCTTCGCCTCGGCGTTGTTGTGGTTGTTGTTGCTCACAGATTGCCGCTGGTAGCACACGGCCAGCCCTGAAAAGCAAGGAAGGAAACGGATATGAGATACAAGATACAAGATACAAGATATAATATATAAAACATAAGGGAGATATATGCCGCAGATATAACTTCAAGTGCGAGAATGGCCTGCCATAAGGGCCCAAACACCTGCCGGCGAGGACACACCCCCTATTTCTCTAGGCCAAAAAGTGAAATTGGGGAAAAATAAAATAAAAATTCCCCCAAATTGCGAACTGCGAACTGCACCTTAACGTCGCGTTCTTTAATTAAAGCGATGACACAACCCCAGTAAGTTTTTCGTTTGTTTTTTTTTACTGGATCCATTTCACGCTTTTCCCCCTCTTTAAAAAAAAGAGTCACCAAGTGGCCTTCGCCTGGCTGATTTTCCAAGTGGCGGCCATGTGGAGTGCCGGTTGTTGTTGTTTAGTTAGTTGCTCGCATTGCGAAAACACAGTTGTTGTTTCATTTTCATTTATGGCCTGCTGGCAGGGGTTAATTTTCTAATTACTCGACGCGACGACGACTTTCTATGACTTCGTCGTCGGTATTTGTAAAACGGCCAAAGCAAAAAGCTTTTATAGCCCACTCAAAACATCTCCGCCCCTAAAACAAAAAAAAATGGGAAAACATAGAACCCTTTTACGGCAAAATTGTAAAACTGTAAAACTGCAAAATTTTCATTTCCGCCTAAAAGGAATCTGGCTAACAAACAAAACAAACAACAATCTAAACGGAGTCCCAAATGGTACAGCTCATAAACTTTGCCATTTACGAAATTAGGTTGGGCTTGTAGGTGGGTGAAATATTTTAACAGTGTTTTTCTAGAAACATAAAACCAAAACAACAATCAAAAAAAAATTACAGTGTTGTACAGAAAATCAGAAGCCGAAATACCAATCAAAAAACACTGAGATTTATGAAAGAATTGCTTAAATTATATTTACAAGTGCCAGGGATATGTAAAAATTCCATTTCTCCGGCAATTGAATCAAGTATTTGCTTTCTGCATTCAAGATGCCAATCGAAATGGAATTCTGCCACAAACCGAAGCCAAAAAAAGGAAAATTCGAGGATGCTGGTGAAGGAAATGCTTTTGGTCGGAAAATGCATTCAATAGCCACCTATAATAGGCATCAGTCAATGCTCATTTCGAGAAGCTGCACAGTGGGAAAATTCCCCCTTAATTGGGAGACTTTTAACTCATATTTAATTCTGTGTGTGACAGAAATTCATTTTTTATTGAATTTTAAACACAAATTATAAGATATAAAAATAAAATAAAAATCCTTTCTTTGTGCAACTCTTCAAACTTCGGGTTGTTTCACAGGCATCTCCCGTTCGAGGGTCGTTTAGCCTGAACTTCGGTTTTCTGAAGCCAGCAACGGACCGCAGAACTTAAAGAGCTGCCAGCCGGAAGCCCGACAAGCGCTTTTCAGGGTTTTCCCCGGGGCGGGAAAGCCCCTCGGAGGCAAACACACTGCAGAAGAGTGAATGCAAATACCAGAGCTGCATTGGCATGCCGGGCATATGCGTATTGCTTTTATAAAACAGCAAATAGCAGGTGGATAGGGTGGACTCATAGAGCCGGGCCAGCCCCCCAACAAAGTCCACAGATTGTTTGTACGGACTCGTTAGCCCAGGCTTTTGTACTCGGCCCGCTTGGCCAACTCATTTATTCATGGCAGCAATTTAAGGGTGAACAAAAAAGCTGGTAAATCTGCGGGCAAATCGGAAAATGGAAATTATTCAAGGAGCGGCGGATTCATGACAAAAATCTGAGCAAAAGGTCAAGGTGCTGTCGTTGCATGAATATCGCACATCCCATCCAGTAATCGGAGTGGCACAGCTTGGGCAATAAATATTAATGTGCTGTGATAGAATTAATTTGGGGCAATAAATCAATTAGTGGGTCCGCAGGGAGTGGAGTGTAGAGGAGTCGGCTACATCACGTATACGCCACCGACTAAAGCGAATCGTGGCCGTTGACAATCTATGATTGATTCGCTGTGCGGGTGCAGTGGCCCCAAGGCACCGGAAGGTCCTTTAATCCAGTACACCCCTGCCCTTCCGTTTCCTGTTCATTTGCATATATGCGCATGCAACGAGTCCTTCGGGAGCCATAATGAATCATTCGAGCGGCTGCTCAGCGCTCATTTTACGCAAAATTAGCCTTGGCATCCGCCGCAGACATTGCAGCTCACCTGGTGGCATAACAATTGGAGTCCAGAACCCAGAAACCAGGTACACACGATAACGATGACGATTACGGTTGCGTTGGTTGGGCTTTTCGAGGGGGAGTTCTCGAGTCCTCCCCTCGTTGGCCACAAAACTACGGCTCAGCACTGTGGAAACAATGGCAAAGGGCTGTGAAAGGACCATAAAACGCTTAGTCCTGAACGGCCAGGATTACGAATGCATGTGTGTGCTGTCTGTTTAATGGTCTTAAATATTTATAAAGCAAGCACTGGGCAACCGCAGCGGCAAACGTCGAACTGCTGCGCTGCCGGAAGGGTTAACGATTAATTGAAACAAAGTTGGGCTTCTCCTGTGGCGCCAGGTCAAATATGTTTGGCCGGGGTCAACGCATAATTGGGTGGTTGGGCGGTGGAAGTGGGCCAGAAGTGGGGGCGTTAAATTACATTAACTGTATTTGAGCGATTGCGGCCGGTTCACAAGGGTTCGGTCAAGTGTATTAACCATTTTTAACAACATGTCAACCAAATGTAGCTGTAATTCGTTTTTTTATTAAAAACAATTGCTATAAGTAAAATGTGACAGGAATGGAAGGCAATTAAACGGATCGATCAAAATAATACACGCAGAAGCCTTAAACAAAAGTGGTTAAGGACAACAAATAGATTAAATAACATTCTATAATAATCTTTAATCTCAAATTTTCACTAAAAAAAGGACATTTTTGTCTGTAACAAAGCAAAAAAATGTCCAAATATAGAATGTCATACCTCGTTGAGCTCGTATTTAAATTCCCTATCGATTAGGCCTAAAACCTAAAAACTTTAATTTTTGACGATTTTCGACAAAAAATTGTGATGTCACCCCTTATAAAAATTTCAAAAATTTATCAAAATTTGAACTTGCTTTATTCTATCCGAAAGTGATTTATATCGTAAGCTAACGATATTAGAAGCGCAAAACTGTGATTCTTTTAGCTGTGGCACCAATTTTAACTTAGTTACGACAAGAAAACACAACAAAAACGCATTTTTTACGCAACGAATCCTTAACTTGAATTTTCTTGCAAAAAAAATCAGTATTTTGCCTAAAACAAAGAAATAAATTGTCCAAATATGGAATGTCATACCCCCTTGAGTTCGTATTTAAATTCCCTATCGATTAGGCTTAAAACCTAAAAACTTTAATTTTTGACGATTTTTTACAAAAAAATGTGATGTCACCCCTTATAAAAATTTCAAAAATTGGTCAAAATTTGTACTTGTTTTAATCTACCCGAAAGTGATTTATGTCGTTAGCTAAGGCTATTAGGAGTGTAAAACTGTGATCCTTTTAGCTGTGGCACCCATTTAAACTAAATTACAACAAGAAAAAAGAGAATAAAACGACTTTTTTGCGACAAATCCTTGATTTGAATTTTCTTGCAAAAAAAATCAGTTTTTTGCCCAAACAAAGCCATTAATTGTCCAAATATGGAATGTCATACCCCGTTGAGACGGTAATAAAATTTCCTTTCGATTGACACTAAAATCTAAACACTTTAATTTTTGACGATTTTGGACAAAAAATTGTGATATGCAAAGGGTGGCCCAACAAAAAAATTTTTTTACTTGACCCGAAAATGATGTGGAATATTAGCTAAAGTTATTAGGAACATAAATATGTGCTCACTTTAGGTGGGATACCAATTTGAACTGACTTACGACAAATAAACACAGGAAAAACTAACTTTTTTGACATAGATACTTAATCCGCAAAAAATATTCTGCTTTGCTTATGGCTTACAAGGTTTACAAGGCCATTTTAATAGAGCTTACATTTATATTGAATCATGACTTTTTTGGCAAAGCTAAACCAGAAATAACCTTGCATATTTCGATTATTATTTACCTTGATTTTATGCGGAATTGTCAGAGTGCTTTTCCCGGCCAACAATGTTAAAAATAGAACGGATTTGTGCGGAAAAAGGACACGGACCCCAACACAACTCTCTCTTCCCCTTCATAAGGCCCCTCTAAACTCAACCCATGTCTAAATGCCAGCCGAAAGCAGATCCTGACAGACCGAAAGGAACCGAAAGCGAATGTATGAGGAGTGTGCTCATCGTGGCGTGGCAGACGAGACTTTTGTTGGACTGGCTGGGTCCTGGGTCCTGGGTCCTGGGACTCCCTGCGCCGTGCTGAATGCTACCTCAATTAAAGATAAGTATCAAAGTGCATAGTAATCAGGAGGCAGCCAGGCGAGCGACGGGCCAATGAGCAGCACACAGCCGGGGGGCCAATTTCTGGGGGCAAGGACACCGGGGAGAGTGGCTGTCAAAATGATTGTCTTACATGCATTACCCTCCATCCTGGCCGAAACCATCACTCAGCCATTTTATGTGTGTGGGGAGGCGCACCTGGCGTATGCGCAATTTTTACCTGCCTGCTCGCTTCTCGCTTACTTGTTACTTGTTTTCGCTCCACTCCGGAGCTCTATGGAGCCCAGAACTTTTTGTTGCACATCGTTTTTCACAACAGCCACAAAATGTAAAATTTTTGCGCCATTTTTACTGCAATTTATGCACATTGGCAGGGGGAAAGGGGTGGAAAATGGGTGGAAAAACCGAGGAAAACGAATCCGAAATCCCAGTCCTGCCGGGTACGGCCCTCTTTGGTCATTGCTTGTTAACACACCCAATGGGAGTTATTAATGTTTGCGGCGCTTTATTTACGGCTGCCAGGACTCCGGCCGTATTCAGCCTGCCCAACGAGTCGATTTTTTACGGCCGCCCAAGGATTCGAAGGATTCGCTGACAGGCAGGATGGCAGGATGGCTGG